TACAGCAGGCGATAGCAAGAGAAATGACTATCACTCGAATGGGATAATCGAAGATCAAGAACCAAACCTTAACGAGAGCGGGGTTTCTATCTGTTACTAAAGAGAAATTGAAAATGAAACATAAACCCTTTGCCGACTCAGAAAATATTACGAGAAGCTAAGGTTTACCACCCGAGAAACATTTTAATGACGGCCTAAATCTATTCTTACGGGAGGAATGAAATTATTTGCAATTATGTCGATCGAACAGTATACTATCTTCTGTCTATTACTGTGTAGTCGGCTGGAACATTACACAAAACGGCGTCAGCAACGAGGTTCGATGTGATAAATTAAGTACATTTACTTACCTGTGATAAATTAATGTTTACTCAATGAGAATGATTTAATCCCAGAGAAACTACGATTCCCGAAACAGGAACATTTGGAATTCTTGAACATTAGTAACTACAACTGACTTATAACAGCTTCATTTTAATAGCGACTTGATTCTATAATAATAAACCGTGAGATCTAACGCAAAGCTCACAGGGCACGGCGAAGGGAAGGTAACCAGAGGGTTTGAGGTAATCTCGGGAAGTTAACCCTAAGATCCTATTTTGCTAAAGTAATGCTTTGATTTATTTAACGTACGATAATTGACTCGGTTGTGTTTTACAAACACATTTTTTTGCAACCCAAGCTTCTTAATTAAGCCAGAGAAGGGAATTTTTTGTCGTCGATTTTCATTGACAAAATCATTCGTAAGAACTAATAGACATGTGAGTGTTATAACTTTTCATTTGACGTTTTACAGTACGGATAGCTCGGTAACAAGCGACAAGATAATTTCATTTTTACATACATATATTAGCATCGTTTGAATGTAACGAATAATACTAATAATAAAAACGTTTTGATGGTGTTATCATGATTTTGGTTAAAACAATTTTGTCACATTGTGTCGCTGAAAGTTTATCTCATTACCCAAGCAATTATTGTAACTAAAGTAAATTCTATGTGAATTTCTGAAAGAAAACTAAAGCAAATCAGTGTACACTCCATCACCTTCTGCAAATTATAGCCCTGTGTCAAAGAAAAATAGTTTTAAATCACTCAATAATGATGTTGATAATAATAGCAATAAACAATAATAATAATAATCCGAAACAGAACTAGTTAGTACAAAATTAAAATGATGAAAATTAGGTCCTGTCATCAGATAACAACAGTCCACAAATGAACTGACTACCCAAGAGAAACAGAACCAGTTAGTACAAAATGAAAATGATGAAAATTAGGTCCTGTCATCAGATAACAACAGCCCATAAATGAACTGACTACCCAAGGGAAACAGAACCAGTTAGTACAAAATGAAAACTGTGATGAAAATTAGGTTCTGCCATCAGATAACAACAGCCCATAAATGAGCTGACTACCCAAGAGAAACACAACCAGTTAGTACAAAATGAAAACTGTGATGAAAATTAGGTTCTATCATCAGATAACAACAGTCCACAAATGAACTGACTACCCAAGAGAAACAGAACCAGTTAGTACAAAATGAAAATGATGAAAATTAGGTCCTGTCATCAGATAACAATAGCCCATAAATGAACTGACTACCCAAGAGAAACAGAACCAGTTAGTACAAAATGAAAATGATGAAAATTAGGTCCTGTCATCAGATAACAACAGTCCACAAATGAACTGACTACCCAAGAGAAACAGAACCAGTTAGTACAAAATGAAAATGATGAAAATTAGGTCCTGTCATCAGATAACAATAGCCCATAAATGAACTGACTACCCAAGATCAGAGAAACAGAACCAGTTAGTACAAAATGAAAACTGTGATGAACATTAGGTCCTGTCATCAGATAACAATAGCCCATAAATGAACTGACTACCCAAGAGAAACAGAACAAGTTAGTACAAAATGAAAACTGTGATGAAAATTAGGTCTTGTCATCAGACTACTCAAGAGAAACAGTACCAGTTAGTTTAAAATAATAATGATAAAAATTAGGTTTTGTCATCAGATAACAACAGCCCATAAATGAACTGACTACCCAAGAGAAACAAAACCAGTTAGTACAAAATAAGCATGATAAAAATTAGATTTTGCCATTAGATAACAAAAGCCCATAAATAAACTGACTACCGAAGAGAAACAGAATAATAAAGCTAAATGATTTCTTTAAATTGAAGTGACCAGAAAACAGAAATACCTCACTGTATTGGGAATAATTTGACTAAAAACAAACTTACCTCAAGTCTAATATCACTAATATGTAACTTAAGTCCGTAACAGAATTTACAAGGCCATCCGGTGGAATGATATTCTGGCGAAGAACATCAGTGATCAAACGAACGTGGAAGCGACGTACACAGTAGCTGGCATCATGTTGAATTCCACTTCGGCATAGGCCGATTTGGCGGGTTCAAGTTCCCGCGTTGCCACGTCTTTCGTCAGGAAATGTCCTAAATATTTCATTTTTGGAGAAACCCGTCGACCGGACTCCACACATTTCTTTTTTGAGTGCATGCCAATGCTTTTGGGGGTTGTAACCCTCGACAGACTCGAAATGGGAAACGAAGACTCATACCGTCGACGGTCGCCTTCACTTCAAATGGTTTCGAAATCAAAACCACAGCGCTTTTGAACTTTGAAAGTCTAAGGTAGAATATTAATTAATTAGTAAGAATTTAACTCGGTTACATCGCATGATCGCTGCCTGACCCTCAAAAACCAAAAAAATCGTACATGTACGCTGCCGTCCATTCATTTGAGCGGCACTGGAAACAAGTTTTTGCGGCGCTTTGTCACACATTTCCACATGAAATACGGGTCGCTCCTTCAAAAATTTTATCAAAGTGACAAAGGAAATATAAAATGCTTTAACGTAATGTCTTTTAAGCCTGGCGTGCCCCGTCCAAATCACCGGCAGTCCGATCTGGATTTGTTTATCATGTAAATTACTTTCTACGGGTAGATGACGCGAGCTTTTATTTTTAAGATACATTTCGAATGATCAAAATCTTTTTCATTTTAAACAGAAAGGTCACGCCGCAATAAAACGGTTGCGTGGGATGCTGGCTCCTCGCCTTGCCTCGCGCTCAAATGACGCGTCTCTCGCGGATACTCGGTGTCTGGTTTACTTATTATGTTCCGGTCTTAATTAATTTTATGACACCAAGCAAACGCCTTTCTATCGCGTACCAGGGCATCAATTTCCGGCGCCTGCTGAGATTTTTTTTCTTGAGCAAAGCTCCTCATGTCATCACCATTATTAGTATCATCACTATCAGTATCATTGCCATCATCATCATCAACAATATTATCATCATCGTTATTTCCTTTACTATCTTCTTCACCATCATCTTCATAATCATCACCATCATCATCAGTAAAATGTCACAGATGACATAAAAGTTTGGTAAGAACAACAAAGTGGCGAAGGACCTGTCAGCGAGTTTTTCACTGATGTTCTCTCTAAATTTTGACTTGGTATGTTCTTTTTATACATGAACAGAAAAGAACAACTACAAATTTCCCTACAAAAGTGAGGATTTTTGCAAGTTTGGGAACAAATTCTACGACTCGTCTCTGCTTCGTCTTTTCTTCTTTATCTTACTCGTAGGCAGTTTCTCTTCAACGTTTGTCAAGGCCTTCACTGACTCTCGCAATTATTCGCAAACCAGCGAGTCTCTTGTAGCGATGACAGAAAATGATGGCAACTGTTGGGAAAATTTATTCTTCCAGTTTAGGCATCAAGTCGCTGTTGTAGCGACGAAAGTTGATCTTTTTGGTTTTCTTCATTGTAAGCAGTTTGTTGTTAAGTTTGCGATGCAATGCGTGTGTCGGGTCTCGTTTAAGTACTTCGTAGGTCTGTTTGTCGTTAACAAGCGAGTCCATGTAGTCTGTTGAAATGACTCCTGGGTTCAAACCTTTCACATTATTATCATCATCATCATCACCATCATCATCACCATCACCATCACCATCACCATCACCATCACCATCACCATCACCATCACCATCATCATCATCATCATCATCATCATCATCATCCTAATCCAGTGAAAGTGCCTATGTGTTCTAGAATTAACAGTTGGTTTGAGTCTAACCTTAATAACAATGCAGCGCGTAAAAAGAAAACTATCTGAGCTTGATCAAAGAATTGAGTAGAAATTAAAGACGTGTGAAATTTGTAAATCTCTCTATGAGCTCCCTTAGCGTTTTCTCCGATGAATGCTCCACGTTCTTAGACATGATGAATCATGACATTGGTATTGACAAAAAGCAGCAACTTTAGGTAATCAAGAAAATGATAAATATAGTCATTAGAACAACATATTACATCTTTAGTTGTAGAAATAGGAATTGGGATAGCCCAGACTTAAGACAATTTTGATTTCTTTTCTTTTCTTTTCTTTTTTCTTTCTTTTTTTTGAACAATTCAATCTCAAGCAGCATTTGTAAGTTGCCTATACGTAGCGAGATTTACAGTTGTACATTCAAAACACATTTCGGCAAACAAACGGTTAAGTTGAAAAAGGATTTTACAAAAGTCTCAAGAGTAGGTTTCCTCGGTCAATTTACGCAACATTTAACCTTCCGGCTCAGTTTTCGTTTGGTTCTGCTTTAAAATGGAATAATAATTACTCAGAGACAATACAGTGTAAAGAATTGTTGCGAAAAACAGCAAAAACTTGTCAATTTATGTCAAAAAAGGTACTTTAAAAACGAACTAAAACATTCAAAACGCTTTGATCTCGTGACTGATGACGTCATGTCCCTCTTTTTGGTCATGAAAAAAATTATCAGCATTACTTTCCCGCAAATTTTCTCTGCCGGGTGATAAAAGGTTGACTCTCTACAGCCCTCGGCCTAGGCTCCCGACTTTTTCGCTCATGTTCCTTACCCCCATAAATTTTAAATGCCGGACGTCAACTGATTATTTTTAAATGCCCCACACAACTAAAACCTGGAACATGCTATTTGTCTTTAACTCGTTAATGAAATCTTGTCACAGCAACCAAAAAACCTAATTGGGAAATAGTCACGTGACTGATGAAGTCATTACTTTTGTTGTGACATGGTAAGATATTTTATGGCAAATGTTATCTTGTTGTGGTCTTACAGTATTCTAGGTATAAAATTATCAAAGTTATAAAGCATTTTACAAAATTGTCTCAAAGGATTCTGGTAGATTTTTTACGATAATTATAATTTATTTTTATAATTATAATAATAATAATAATAATTATTATTATTATTATTTAATATTGTGGACTTTTTCCATTTCAGTTAGAGAAATCGAGTTGATAATTGATTATGCTCATCAGCAAATTGGGGTATTGCGCAATAAAACTTTTGAAAGAATGGAGGTGTGGATTGGAAACTTTATTTTGCGTAGTAGTTTGATTTTCGACAAACTACTGCTATCGAATCTGATTTCTAACTGGTATTAATATAGGAAATATTCACTCGAAGCTTCAAGGTTTCCTGGCAGATCATTTATCCTTAAAATCACCTTCCTTCCACTGTACCTAATGTTAACCACAAAATTAGAAGATTTCTTTGCAGACGTTTTAAGTTTATATTCTGTTTGAGTAAATTAGAAGTTTATTAAAGTGAGCCTCGCTTTTAGCCTTGCTAAACCTTAAGATTACTAAATTGACTGATATCTGGTCGCTATGAGTTTCGCGCTCATACCACTCACGACTACCGTTTTACCTTTAGGAAGAGGAAGAGGAAAGAAAAAGAAAAGAGGAACATCAGAGGGTAAGTTATTTGAAAGACGAAAGTAATAAAAAGCATAAAGTTCTTCCATGCCATGCTCTGGTATTCCTTCCGGTAGGTTATCATAATCACCATCACCACCACCATCATCATCATCATCATCATCATCATCATCACTAACATCATCATCATCATCACCATTAACACCGTCATCATTATCATCATCATCAGCAGCAGCATTATCATCGTCTTCATCACCATCATCATCATTATAGTGATGATTTTAGGGCTTTGCGACCTTGACTTTGAATGGTTCATCATACTTTATTTTCCGGTCAAAAGGCATCACAGGTATCTAGAAGCTAAGAAGTTTACTAAAAATAAAAATGACCGGAAAAGGCTTAAATGTGTTCTTGTGAAGTAACTTTTTAAGTCTGTGAAGTCCTTTAGTCAACAAAGCTAGCGGTAGTTATATAATTACCAATTCTGCGAGTAATTTACAGATACAATTTAAGACGATCATGACTTACCACAGACCTTTTTATTTGCTCTTTTTTCCGAGCGATTGCTAACGCCACGATATGTATTACATTAAACGGTACTAAACCTTTCTCCCGGTTCCAGGTACTTACAGTCCTGGCATTGTCTGTTACCACACACCACTTTCCCCTTCGAGCTCCACTCCAGACGCGTTGACGGCGTAAGTTTAGCGTATACTAGGTAGTCCCCCAGGCTCGTGGGTCTTCGAAATGCCATGAAGGGTACGTCTTTGATGGCTTTCCTGCATTTTTCTGAGCAATGCAAGAGCGGCTGAATTTCTCGTAGGATGCTACCAATGTTAGGAAGACTTGGATGGTATGTCACTACCATTGGCACTATGATAGTAGCATTCCTAGGGCGTGGTGCCAATGTTTCCTCTCTGGTTTTCAATCTCGCTCTCCTAATTTGCTTCAAAACAAATGCTTTTTTATATCCCCTGGCTACAAGAAACCTGCATAGATCAGCAGTCCTGTGATTAAAGCTATTCAGCCTAGAACATATTCTTCGAAGTCTCAAAGCCTGGGCATCTGGTATGCTTTCCTTATGCTTTCTGGGGATGACACGAAGTGTGGTACAGATACTGGTGTTTATCCGTCGGCTTAATGTACAAATCAGTCTCTATTCTTCCATTGTTATTTATTACCTGAACATCCAAGTGATTAATCCTCTCTCTAGACCAGTCCCAAGTGAACTTAATCGTGTCAAGGGCTTCATTGATATAATTCAAAAACTCCACCAGCTCAAGCTCGGTCCCCGTCCACACCATAAAAACGTCAGTCAAATTATAGAATGTTTACTTGTTACGTAACAAGTAAACATTCTATCATTTGAATTAACCGCATCATTGATTATGTAAATCTTATGGAATAGGAGCGACGGTTATGAATATACATGTCATTAAAATCCCCTGAAGAGTGAGCAATCACGAAACAGGCTTGTAGGGATAAAAACTGTGTAGTTTTTCAATATTCTATATATCAATATAAGGACTAAAATCTATCAGGGAGGCTCTCAACAATCGAGAGAACCCGGAGATACCGACGGAGACAATTGTAGCCCTGGCTGGCTGAATGAGGCTGAGTATCTTATGAATAATTATGGAGATCGAGGAGGGTTTTATCCGTTGAGGCGGTAGGCCGAGGTGGATAACACCCTCTGAGATCTCCATGATTCTTCATATGATACGAAAGCCGAATTCAATAACTGTTTTGTTATTCATTCAAAATAATTCCTAGTTTAAAAACATAGCTCAAACAAGCTTACCTGCATCGATCCATCGATGTTCAGTTCATGTTCGATAGTGCACGTTTAGGTTTATCCAGCTCCGCAAATATTCTCCAGATAGCAGATGCCGCCCTCCGAGTTGTCTTCTTGCTGTTTTTTTTTTTGCTATGTTTTTAACTATTACTTCGCCTAGTTACAGCTGTAGTTGTTACTCTTGAAACGGGTGAAGTGTCGGCTATTTTTGTTTTCACAACCAAAACAACTCAACCTCGTCCCCAGGTCTTCTCGGTTAACGGTTCATTAACCTGTTGAAGGCTGCATTTTGACGTCATTTCCTCGTTAAACACAAAATTCTTCCAAATTTGGACATCGGTAACTGATTATGGTGAATTAAAAGTGTGCTTTTAATTCAGAATAGGGGAAATATTTTGAATGAATAATAATTTGATATTAGAGAATACTTCATGGAAAGTGCTGGCGTACGGTATTTACGCACGAGTTGTTGACGTATCAGAAATCGAACGAGTGAGCGCAGCGAACGAGTAAGATTTCTGATACAAAAACAACGAGTGCGTAAATACCGTACAAAGCACTTTCCATGTGGTATTGTGTTTATTATATACATACCGAGACATTCATCATTTTGGCGGCCTTTTTATTTTAAATCTTTCAAAAATGCTAAAATTTGCCGCTACACACTCACCGCAAAATGACAACGAAAACGAAGTATCAGCTTTTTAGTAAAAACGTTTGTTAAAAACATAAATGACGGTAAGGATATGAGGTAAACCAAGAACTATAAGTAATCTTAATCTTGTTTGTTCTCAATGCACAATTGAAAATGAGTGAATATAAGTAAAATGGCCGGTTTCAATATAAGCTTAAGCTTAAATGAAAGGCAAAGTAGCTCCGACAAAAAGCACAACAAAAGCTTACGTCTCGTTCTGTTTTTCCCTTTCCGCTGTTGTTTCGCCGGATCTCTACCGTTTTCTTTATCGACAGTGAAACAAACGAAACTATTCTACTCCATTTCCGAAGTGTTTTTCACTTTTTTTAGCGAGAAAAACTCTTTGAGTAAAACTTTTCTCTTTGAATGTGTGCGAAGCGGCGCTGCAAGCTGCAATAAAAGGAGGGAATTTTTGCGCGAAACTCACACACCTCTGTGGCTTCTGATTGGCTGTATCATTTTTCTCACACGCGAAAAAACATCGTTCGCGATTCTGATTGGACGTATCATTTTTTTCACGTGTGAAAACCATCGTTCGCTCCTCTGATTGGCTAGAACTAATTTGCGTACGAAAATTTACGACATAGCTTTTTGGTGAGTATTTCTCAGTATGTATATAATAATTTATTTTATGTTAATTCATGTAATTACTCTGAAAAGGCATTCATTGAAAGTAATAAAGTTATTATTATTATTATTATCATCATCACAGGCATTGTCTTGCACAGCTTCAGGCGCATCAGGTGAGGACTCCAGAACACTAACAAGCGTGACTCTGGTGATATGTTTCAAATGTCCATTCATTATTTAGCTGTTGGAAAAAAGTTTTTCGGAGAACATACCAGTATTTTCAAATAATTTGGGTTGTCATTTGAGTTCAAACGTTTTTGTTTTTTTTTTTTTTTCATTATTTCCAAAACGCTTTTTGATTCATCATTGCCGTAGTTAAGGTGTTTCTTTTTGTACAGACTTTATTTAAAGTTTTAATTGCCTGCGTAGATTAGCATAACAGTTTGCTGGGGATAAAGTATTGTAAACTTTATAGTTCTGTAAATAAATAAACTGTAGTTGTTATAACTGTAAGCGTGACCTCATTTTTGATGGAAACAGAAGGCTTGCAAAGATTTCCATTGTTTGATTATAATAAAATTATATCTATTTGTAGTCTTCACTTGAATACGTTTTTTCAAATTACATTTTCCATTTTCTTAAGGTGGTGTCTCCTCAAAACAGGCAATACCTCTGTGCCTACCAAACAATTGCATTGGGATTCTGAGACAGGTCAGTGCCTTCGAACAGAAGAGAAACGTCGATCCCTGTATGTAGTGGAAGAGTCCCTTGAACAACTCAGCAAAATAAAAGGTAAATCAGTGGCACAATATTATTGATTAAAGCTTCCTATTTGTCAATTGGGATGATTGATAATGGTAATTGAACCAAGTAAAGTGCAATTTGGTCTGAAATCATACGCATGATTTTAAAATCAGACGAGTACGCAGCGCCAGTCGGGTTTAAAATCACAAGTAATATTTCAGACCACAATTGCACGACACGAAGTTCAATTACCAGTTTATTACAGCCATTTTGAAATCGCTGAATTCAGTCAATACCAAATTATATTGATCTAGTCGTCGGTTTGTTGAAAAGTGCAAGCAAAAAGGCCGTTTTATCTCATTTTGATGCGACTATAGAGCAAAAATGTTCTAATTTAGGACAAAAATGATGCGATTTAGAACAGAAAGACGCAATTTAAAACAGATGTCATTTAGAGCAAAAATGAAGCGATTCGTGAATAATTATCACACTGCTGAGAGCCAATCAGATTGCAGGGATCACCAGTGATTACAAAATGGAGATAATAAAATGTGATGCTTTAATAAACTAATTAATGAGGTTTGTTGCGTATATGATTTAACTTACAGGAAATGAACGATGCACTTTATTAACGCGATTTTTTTAATTTGCTGCATCTTAATTTACGTCGATGTTAATTGCGGTCGACGAAGGAGAACGCTTACTATTCGTGTACCGTACATGATGTAGTAACCGTTCCGTATGCCATGCGATTTCACGATTTAGACGCCATGTTGGACCGGCCTGGCACATTTTGTCTCGATCTCATGTCTTCAGTTTTTTTCGCCCGGGAGCTGGTATCTATTTTGTGACACTCGTTCGCAGATGAAACGTGAGCGATTTCCTGTTTACTACAGGTTTGTTTACAGTTTTTCTCGCAGTTTTCAATTAAGTTTTTTTCTATAGGAAAATTTAAGATAATCGGATATGTAGATGTTTTGTTAACAATGTGTTCTGCACACTGTATTTGTTTTTATGGATTCACGCAAGATCAGCTTAGATCGACCAGATTTAATTCTATTACAAATTACATCTTTTCGCTTTTAAAAGCTATTTACAGCGTTGTATTTGCTTTTGTTTGTCACCATTTTTGAAAAATATACAAGAAATTGAACAGTGAAACGTTGACCTTTTCATCTCACTAATTCCAGGTGCGTTGTACTTTGAAAACAGTGCTAAGTAGGTGAGTCGTATTAGCCTAGTGTCACGCAAAAAGGGTTTAAAGTGATGAGCGACGCTTAAACTTCCAGATAACTTTAATTTTCTGTATCCCAATTTTTAGCCAATTTTATGGACTATCCTGCAGTGCAAAAGAATATCCTGAGGATCATAGTCAGTGTTTGACCTGTTGTTACTTACATGTACTTTACTTAGAGGTTTAGGCAAGTAAATGTAAAAAGTAAAGTAGGCTCTTGCATTTTTGAGGGAAAACTAAATGACATAGTAACGAATTGTAAAGTGGGAGGATAAACGATACCATTGATAAAGACAGCTGCTGGTATTCGTACTGATAAAAGCGTTTGATTTTGATTTCTCAATATTACAAGCCCATCAGGTTTTGCACCCCCTTCTCCCCCGCCCTCCCCATTGAACGCACTCCCTTAATTTGCAATTTGCAAAACCGTAACGGATCTATCTCAAGCAGATTTTGCCAAAAGTGCGACTTACCTAATTCATCACTGGCACTGACTCAGAAATTGAGCCATATTCCAATCCCTGAGATGCAGGAGTCCATAAAATTCCAGTAACTGTGCTTTAGAAACTGCTGGTATGCGGCCATTTTTGAATCCCATGTTACCAATCCGAAGCTCAAAACAGGTGAAACTGTGTCACGTTTCAAGCTAAATACTGTAGCTCGGTAAAACAACCGTCCAGAGGTGAAAGTTTGCTCGAGAATCAGAAAATCAGCCAGGCAGGTTTCATTTTGGATTAGAAAATTGAGATTTCAGCTCTAAAACTCGGATAAACCTTCTACTCAACCGGCTCTGCAAGGTCAAATGCAGGTTGACACGTAAACCGGAAACGTCGAACCCAGAAATACGGAAAAACGAAAATGCGGAAATCCGGATCATTTACACCTGCCTGTAACTGCGTCATCATGCGTGCATTCTTATATCAAAAGAAAACAATATTTGCCAATGGGTAAATTACACCTTACCACATTAACAGATCACGCCAATATATGTTTACATATCTGGGAGGTTCAAACTTTTTGCAAACAGCTGTATATATCTGTCTGGATTTGTTGAAACGTGGCTAAAGAAATTTCAAGTGCATTTTAACTATTTGACATCTAAGTGGAATGGGAAGCAGTTAAAAGTCACTACCTGAAGCTAAACAATGACAGCATTGTTGCTGGCAATAGACGGTAAAGTTTTCTCGCAGAAGTAACAGGATTTTGCGATGACATATAAAACAACATTTGAAACGTCCAGAAATTGTAATCTTTTAGCCGGTCAAACCGTGGGGCCCACAGCTCAGTGTCGGCCGAGAACCGATTAAGAATCAACAATCTTTGAGCACATAATAGGCTTTCTAATAGAAAATCACCTAAACTAAACGTTCACGAAGCGTTTCTATGCTTGGCACAAAGTATTCTGGTAACACGAGCTCAACCGCACATACCTGAGATTTGTCTGTCAACACTTCCGGTAAATCACACAATAAATGACTTTCGCGACAATCACAACACTTCCGAAAACCACTCATAATAATTCCACCCTTAACACGGGGGAAACATCGTCAAAATACTCCGTAAAACTCTCGCTTTCTCCACATAAATCGTCACACGGAACTTTTCTCGACTCACTGACTATTTATTTATTCAAGATCCCGGATGCAAACCAGCGGTTGAAAAGGAGACATACAGCCCCCGCCTTCCACACAATTTTTTACTAAGTCTTTGGCCTGGTCAGAAATCAGCAGAATTTCCATCTTGCCGAATAGATTTCAACCCTAGAACCTACTTTGTGAGGCCAAGGACTTGTTACTGCCAACAACAAAGATCGCAATATCCCATCTTTCCGTCTCAAGCCCGGGATCAGTCTTTCACCCGTGTAGCCCAAAATGAGACGAAATACTAGAAGATATTGGACGCAGTAGATTTTGCCAGGCGTGAGAATAGTTTCTTCATAAAGCTTTAATGATGCCTTCCGGAAAACTTTGCTCAAGGCAGCCAAAAAAACTCTAAGACAACCCACTATGAGAGCCGAGTTCAGTCTAATACGCGCGCTGATTTCAAACTGACATACAGAGAGAATTATGGGAAGTTATGACAAACATTTTGTTTTGAGGGGCGGGGGGGGGGGGAATATGTTAATACCCAGTGAGAAACTCATCAAAGTCTATCTACTGTGGCCTCTCCGGTACAGATTAAATAAATAAAAAGTAACTATCAACTACATGCTCCGCTACATTGACTCAGTCAAAGGGTATATAAGAGAGATTTCTGTAGCCATGTTTTTGCAAATCCAGGCAGATATATATACACTTGAAAAGATCTGCAACTATATAATTATATATGTATATCTGTGTAGATTTCATACAAGGTGCCTGTACTGAGTCTTTAGACAGCTAGCCTGTGAACAGGCTCTCTGTTTGGGGAAAAATAGCGAGGAAAGGGAAGGGAAAGGGGGGGAGAGAGCCTGTAGACAAACATTTGAGGCCGCTATTCCGCCCTCTTGTAATTATCCTGCCGATCATCTGTCAGTAAGATCGTTATCGGTCAATCAATTTCGCACGTGAGTAACTCCGAGGAAAATTAACAGGAAATGAGTGGCGTTTTGCTCCGTCTGAAAACAGAGTGAAATGAACCTCATTGTTGATTTTGCAAAAAGTCGTTGATCTCCGGTAAGAGGATTAATATGCCGTTCGTCTTGCTAGTTCGGTTTGTGATTTAACAAGCCGCTGCAATGAGCGAACTTGGAATGCGGAAGGTACGGATACTATCATGACTTCTCCAGAACGTGAAGCTTCGAAGACAAGTACAAAGAGATCAGCAGCGCTTCGATCGCCGACAGAAATTACCTAGTAGGCCGACACGACTTTTACTTTATGCCAAAATGCTGCTTGTTTCCATAAGTTTTTTCCTCTGCGTGGCAGATTATTCTCTGGAAGGTTCTACATTTTCACTGAGCAAATGAGATTTTAGCCGCTTGTTTCACACTGAGAGTTCATGGCACACATATCGATTTACTGTGGTTTTTGTTTCTGTTCGACAGGATTTGCCCTCTGATGCAAGAGCATTTTCTTTGACCTCTTTTGAAGCGTAAAGCTTTTTTTTGCGGCTGAATAAGGGTCTTACTTTTCTCCAAAGTGCCTTCTCGATCTGAATAACTAAGCGATTTTCTTTAGTCCAGTGAATATAATGTTTCTCTGCAATGTTATATTCTGACGCTGGGCCCAGCTCGTCAGTGTTTAAAAATTATTACGGATGGTTATTACCGTTATTTACAGATCCAAAATTATAAGATTGAAATGCAGCTTAAACCGAAGCTACATCAGCTATAGAGAATTGCATTGTGCTTCGGAAACTATAAACTCCAGCTTAGTGTTTTTTTAAAGACAGTTTGAGTCTTTTGACTGGAGCGTGTAGTTCCTCCCCGTGGCAATAGTCTTTAGACTGTTTTGTTATTGTCACTCTGTGATGAAATCGCGTGCTACGTGCCGACCGAAAGGCCGATGTCAATCAGACCTGTCAACAGTCAGTGTTCTCGCCAATAGGAGCTTGCATCAGGATCTGATGCACAGCGGGAAACTACTCACCCTCCTCACCCATGAAGCTTACGACTAGTCAATCACTTCCCCTAAGCTCAGCTAGTAGTGTTATGATTATGAGCCACAGCATTGATTTGGCGGGCGATGCCCGTGTTCAAGCGAAAACGTAGCGGGCCGCCTTTTAGCAAAATCACACAGAAAACAGCCAGGATATCTCTAGCCCAAGCACAATCTCTTAGCTTCTGACAACATTTGCTAGCCCGGGGAGAAGCAATTGCATTCCCTGGCAATTAAATTCACCACCGGGCTCAGATAAACGCTTAGTAATAAATAGCCTGGATATCTCTAGCCCAAGCTCAATCACTTAGCTTGTGACAGCATTTGCTAGCCCGGGGAGTAGCAATTGCATTCCCGGGCAATGAATTCACCGCCGGGCTTAGATAAGCACTTTTAGTCCAAGGAGAAACCACTTACCTCTGGGCTAGCCCACAGGAAAAATTCTCTTACTTTGCACTGCTTTCTGACATGAAACTCTAATCAAAGTGACAAAACCTCCCCTCCCTACCCCGCTGGTTTTCACACAAAACAAGTCAGCCCCCCCTCGTTACGGATAGGTCTGGGCCTGGGCTCTCAGCTGACACCTAGCAAGACGGCAAGCCGCCTGGTTTTTTCCGGCTACACTGGCTTAGACACGGGCGATGCCCGTGTTCAAGCGAAAACTTAGCGGGCACCTTTTAGCAAAATCACACAGATATATATATATATATCCCCCCATCACATTTGATGTGCCCACGATATTGTCATTCAGCAGATGCACGCCTGAGCACGCAAATTGCCCTCCTTTTCGGTGTGAATTAACTGTTCACCTACATTCCTAGACAAAAAATGATTAGGCGTTAACGACGCTCACAACGCTTGCTGATTAATGGTTGAGTGGCCTATAAATAAGCAAACTTTCCGTGCCTGTGGCAACTGTGATTAGTTCTTCGTCGGTGACATCACTGCCACCAGGAGCCGCCTGCTGCTACCTACACCTACATACAAATTTCAGGGCTCGACCTTGCGACCTGTGGAGTCGCCAATGCGACCAGCTTTTACTCAATGACGACTACATTTTCAGGCCTGGTCGTCAGCCTGGCTCCCAAGGGATAGGTTACTTTCTTCTTTGGGAAAACGTACATTAATGATAATTTGTTATCCTTTACAAAACTAACGTTTTGCCCAAACGTTATTACGGTTTGTCTAAACGTTTTAACGATTTGTCTAAATACTTTAACGATTTCTTCCAACACTCTAACGGATTGTTCTTATGATCTAACAGTTGTTAAGTCTAACCTTTGACTTTTACTTGAAAGAGGATTGTGAAAATCACAAGTGATAAATTCGACGGAAGTCTTATCGACTTTAATCGATCGCAATTCTCAATAGGTCGTCCTGTGTTTCTCCGAGAATGACTTCTAGCGCATTGATTTAAAACGGTTTCTTTATGTCGAACATGTATCTCGATTGCGGACTCGATTGCAGATTAGTCTGATAAAAACTTAAGCTAATCGAGAACGAACGGTGCTTATTTCTCAAGCTTCTTTTGAACAACTTTATGCAAATTTCTGTTGAGTGTGACGACCCAAATAAAAGCTCTGCCGTATTTTATTGACTTTTAATGAAGTACCGTTGAACTCATGCTGTTTGTCTAACAGACTTCTCGCGAAATCAACCTCTTTGCCCGAAAACATTAGCGACGCTTCCTCATTCTGGAGACTTTCGATCACGTGCTAAGCAAGCGCGAAATAGATCAAGTTTCACCGATGTTCATTTCTGAACATGCAAATACATGGGACGTAAAACAAATTTTGCAGATTTTGTTCTTTAATTCCCCAAATAAGTTTTTTTGTGATTCCTAAAGGTTGTTTATCTAAATGTGTATTCCATTGCTTGAATACCTGTTCGAGGAGATTTATGCTTGAGTGTGGGTTCTTTTTCCCGAACACCGGCTGGTAATCGAGCCTCCAGCGAAAACCGTTCGAAAGAAATTTCAAAGGAAGGCTGAAGCATTCTTCAGGGGCGTAGCTAGGGGGGGTCCTGGGGTGCCCGTGACCCCCCCTTGGTAGGCCTTCTTTTGAGCAAACAACCTACAATATTCAGGTGGCGAAAACGCCATGACAATATCTTGGCCGTAAAAGCCATTGTTGAAAAGCTCACTTTTTTAAAATTTGTTTTTTTGTAAAGTATTTTCGTCAACAGCTCTTGTCTTTAGCGTGGAGGTCGACATGACAATCTGGTGAGTAGCCTCTGTGACCCCCCCTTTAAAAAGTCCTGGCTACGCCCCTGTTCTTTCTCTGTTAAGGCTAAGCAAAAGATGTTAAGTTTATTGTATTCTATTAGTTCTTAAATATAATTTTTGGCGACTAGAATACTTTTTCTGGCGACCAATGACTTGAAAGCCAGCTGGCCCCAACATTTGTTTCTGAAAGTCGAGCACTGAATTTTCTTCTTAGTTGCTTTAAACACCATGCCATGTGCCTCGTCAATATAAGGAGCACCCAGAAAGGAGGGATTAAAATAACACTCGATTTCCCTCCATGAAGTCTTTCGGTGAATGCAGTTTTTCTGGCGACCAAACAACTTGAAAGCCAGCTGGCCCCAACATTTTTTTCTGAAAGTCGAGCACTGAATTTTCTTGTTAGTAGCTTTTAACACCATGCCATGTGCCTCGTCAATATAAGGAGCACCCAGAGGGGAGAGGTTAAAATAACACTCGATTTCTCTCCATGGAGTCTTTCGGTGAATGCAGTTTTTCTGGCGACCAAACAACTTGAAAGCCAGCTGGCCCCAACATTTGTTTCTGAAAGTCGAGCACCGAATTTCTTCTTAGTAGCTTTAAACACTATGCCATGTGCCTCGTCAATGTAAGGAGCACCCAGAAGGGAATAACACTCGATTTCCCTCCATGGAGTCTTTCGGTGAATCATTTTGTTCGTTTGCCGATCCACAAGTTCTTTACTGGTTCATTGAATGTTACAACGAAGTCGTTTCCATTAATCGTGAACAATTTTTGGGTTTCTTACTCGATTTAACATTTGAAATGCCCGACAAATGAACAGTTTTTGTTCCTGTCGGATCTGTTTTATCTCATTTCCCCCACAGGTCACTAGAATTCCTCGACAGTTTCAGAACGCGGACTGGTGTGAGCTCTGTCGTGTTTGTTTGGTTTTTCTCGCGGTCGACATCCCTCGAGACTGTTTACCCATTTGGCTATTTCGTTTTCGGACAGCGTACCGACTGCGAATTTTTCGAAAGTAAAAGCTATAACGAGACGGTTGCTGAAAGCTTTAATGAAATCGCTTCTTAAGATTTTCTACTATTTGCCAACGTTTAACACGGAAAAAATAAGAAGTCTACGCTGAGGATTCATCAATTACAGCGGCGACAAATCTATCAGTCAGGAAAGTTTTTAATTTTTTAAAACATAACGAGAGACAAACTAAGTCAGTATTCCTTCCCTTTCTTTTTAGGGCCAGTATGTGTAGTTTCTATCGCCGGACCGTACAGAAAAGGAAAGTCATATGTCTTAAGCGAGGTGTTTAGTCAACCAGAAGTATTCCCTCTTGGACATCATCTCAGACCTGAAACCTTGGGAATATGGCTTTGGATTGTACCAGAAGTATTTAAGGTTAATTGTTATTCTAGTAATGATATTGAATAAATACCATACATACAGGAAAAAAAAAGCCGTTTTGGAGTGTCTGTAATAGATTTATACTGTAAAGTGTGGCAATGTCTAGTTTTATAACGCTCGAAATGTTAATTTTCTTAAAATTGTATTTATTAAATTACAGTTAATTGATACAATGCATTCTAGGTACTGAATAAAGAATTATACCGAACCAGTTTTAGTTGATAATTTCTTGATGATGCGTTCATTCAAGACGGACGTTCGTCAATCAGCGCTCCAAGATTGTTGTTGTTGTTGTTGTTGTTGTTGTTCTTCTTCTTCTTCTTCTTCTTCTTCTTCTTCTTCTTCTTTATTGTTATTATTATTGTTGTTATTACTGTTATTGTTATAATAATTTAGTGTTATTTTAATTATATTTTTATTATTACGATAGTCTCCATAAAAGCCAGATGAAAATTAATTCGTTCTATATTTTATAGGATTCCACTGGCCAGGAATTCAAGGTATTACTACTTGATTCCGAGGGAATTGACTCTGTTACTTGTGAAGGTTATGATGACACCCAGATTTTCACTTTGACGGTTTTACTGGCTTCGGTTTTAATATACAACTCACAAGGTGTTCCTACGCGGACAGATCTTGAAGGGCTAAAGTATCCTCTTAATTATATATATATATATTTTAATTTTTTGAATTAATTTCCATTGCATTGGGCTAAAAAAAATCATGTGCTTTGATATTTCAGTTAACTTAAAAACGCAATAATTAAATCTTTCCAAGGATTTAAACTTCCTTCACTAGTTTTCTAGGTATATCGTTAAACTCTCTCAGAGCATCGAGGTGCGATCAAAAGCTGAAGCTGGAAAATCGCCGGAAGACTCAAAGTTCTTCTACAAAACATTTCCTTTCTTCTTATGGTTGCTACGAGACGTCGCTCAGGACCTACCACCAGATTGTAACAGCATCAAAGACTACTTCTTGAAGGAGGTATACTTTATTTAAATTGTTGTGACTTTTTAATTAGAAATCATTTTCAGCAGCTGTGCATTATAACTTGCTTTAGCTCTGATTCTAAAAATACTAACATGGATGCTGACAGTTAAATGGACACATGAAAAAATAGGTAGATTGTAACATTGTTTTTGTTTTGACACTAGCAGAACTCCTATGTTTCTAGCTCTAGAAAATTACTTCCCACACGACACGTAGTCGAAATACTCGTCACCTTAAAGAAGAACAAAAATGTTTTAGATTATAAAGAGTTTTAACTAAGCACTCTAATCTTTATTTACCGTTAACTTTAGTTTGACGAGTTTTATGTCACTAACAGCCTGGGTAAACATCTGACATTGCTTAATTTTTCAGGTTTTTAAGGTTCCCGATTCATCATCAGCTGAAACTCAAGATCGCCAAAAGGTTGCTGAAAGCATCCTAGGTTATTTCGCTGGTTTTGAGGCGTTTTCGTTACCTCCTCCAACTGCTGACAAAGAGCTGCTGAAGAATATCAAGGACAATAAAAGTCAGATGGATCCTTTTTTCCAAGAATTAGATCAATTTAAGAGCTTGCTGAAAAGTACTCTGACCCCTAAAAAGAGCTTTAATGAAAGTGAGCTGGTTACTGGAGAAGGTACGATATTTTCGTAATTTTGAGGAGAGTACAAGACAACGGTTTCATTTACAGTAGCAATGACGTGTATGATATGCAAGTTTCTAGTCAATATTAGTTTCTTTCACTCGCACATGGGAAAAGAAAGGGAGGTCTTAATGTTGTTATCATATCGCTCTTTTTTAAATTATTTGTTTTATAAAAATTAATATTGTGTTTCCTCCTCACATTGAAAGTTATGTTTCTGTCGATATTAGGCAGAAAATACTGCACTGAATACTATTATATTATTAGACCTTAGGTCATTTCCGTCGGTTCTTGACGGTAAGTCTAGCCAGGATTGTCGGCCCTAGTATTGAACATTTGGCATCGGTTTATCGGCTGGTTTTGGTTTCAGAGACCCACTTATATCCAGAAATGAACCCAATGGCGAAAATGGCGAATCTGGCAAAAAAAATCGCTAGAGGTTTGGCGAAAATGTATAAAGAGATTCAGTTACAAGGCGTACTCTTTGTAAAGTAGCGAAGTTGGCGAAAATGGCGAATGTGGCAAAAATCTGCCATGGGTTTGGCAAATATTCAAATCTGGTGCCAAAAGGGGTCCTTTGGAGAGCGGAGATTTAATTGACAAAAATTGCAAACATGACTATAGGAAAATTTGCCCAAAATGTTATGCGATTTAATCTACTGATAACATCACCTTTCTATGGAGACAGTCGGTCTTGGAGACATCTATCAAACTTCCATATTTTTAACAATCTCAACACATATAATACTAAAATAATAATTCTACCTTATATGTTGAACATTTAATATCAAGGTAGCCTGCATCGCAGATGTAATCTTACCCTGGTTAGTAACGTCTGCGAAGCAGCACTGATATCCTTGTTCTAGGCCCCCCGGAACGGACTCAAGTAATTACAAAAAATGTGTTGAAAGTTTCCCTTCAACCTGACTGGCCAGTGGACAATGGCATTGTTTAACAGTCCAGTCCTGGCACGTACTCAAATCCTGGTACACACGTTAAGTTCTGTCCGTGGCGGAGGCTAATATCAAGGTGTTGGTTTAGTATTACATTTGCAGAGACAAAATCTGAACTAGAAGCAACCAAAAGGGTAAAGTTTCTCATTTTTCTCCTTTAAATGCATTAATTTTACAATATAAGGGGTAAAGATATGGTTCCTGCATTTCTTTTCCCAAAAAGTAAAACCCTTAAATGACTGAAAGGCAAGCAATTTTGTTTACCAAGGGTGATGTAATGGTAAGAAATAATTATCAAACTTCAGTTTAAAAAAAATTCATGCAAAAGTTAATGATGCAATGCCACAAAAAAGATGAGAGATTGTATGTGCCTGAGTACATTATTTCAACACGCTTCTACAAAATAGAGAGCTGGTTTGTAGCAAAAACTGTAAGTTTATATTAAAGTGTCTTTTTTTCATAATTTGAAAACAAGCATTAAAGTAGTCAGTTAATTTAAAATCACTTATCGATATCGCACATTATGGAAATGACGAGGCCCACTGTAGGTCGTGGAAAGTGCCCTGCCTATGTACTTGTCCTCGTACGTTTGGCAAAGAAGGTGTTTTCCAGTTGCATTCAAAATATAAACATTTAGGACATTCAAATGGAAATAAAAATACCTCAAACCTCTTACCTTGTCTGCTTGTCTTGTTTGTGGTATGTTCTTAGCATTTCTGGCCGTTTTTATTCCTATTTTAATGCCCTAAATAACTATCAATAAATTTTTCATACAAACTCTTAGTAAAATATTTCTCTTATGCAACTCGCTCATGAGCTTGGGGTACCCGTGATTGAGGATAGAGAAAAGAGCTGCATCATTTCGCTTTTCTACGTTCTTACTTAAGTTTAATGGTCCATTCACATCAAATCGTTTTGCAGGGAGCAATCACGACAACATAAGCAAAGCCAGTTTTACGCGCCTTCGATGTACATAAATGTTTTACCAATAACTAGTTGGAACTCTACACTTGGGAACTAAGCTTGAGTTTTTATCTGTCTGGAAGGGAAGAACTAAAGAGACGACTAAAAAAGCTAAGTGTTCAAATATATAATTGTGATTGTGTATATGACTGATAGGTGGATATAATTGGACGGTAAATACAGAGCAAAGGTTGTGTGCCAGAGAAATGGTTTATTATTGGTTGCTCTTAAAATCTGTGGGTAACGATGTAGCTTAAGTTGAACATTTTTTTTCGATAGACCGTTAGGCTTGTAACTTGTTTGCCGTACTTTTCAGACGTAAGATTGATGTTGTGGCGGCAATCATTTGATTTATCTCCGTGCAACCTACCTGTTTTGATCTTAGTTTAATACCTGGAATGTCTTTTACCATTGTTTTTGGAATGGTTATAATGAGATTAACTCTCACATAGCAGTAGCCCCCCTGCCTGAGCGCCCATTCCGGCTCTACAATCGCCACTTTGAAAGCTGCTCTTTGTAATATCAATCGCCATTTTCGCCATAATTGCAACTCTCATAGGGCCTCTGCCATTTCATTTCAATGTTTGTTTTCGTCAAAATCGCCACTCTGGAAGAGGACCCTTGATCATTTTTTTTTGTTGTTGTTTACTTTTTCCAAAGTCTTTTGCGAATTTTCGCCAAATTCGCCAGTTTCTTCAAAGTCGGTGCTTTTAAAGGGCTCTTTTGCAATCTCATTTGAATGTTTGATAAGACTTTGGCGAATGTTCGCCAAATATACCTTTTTTTGCCAAAATGGCTACTCTTTCTTTGCTGCCTCTTAAGAATATTCGCCAAACTTTCGGGCAAGTTTTCTCCATTTTGGCCATTGTTGCCAACGCGTGCATTTCTTCGGGACATATCTCCATTTTTTCTCCCGGGTATATCACGAACTAATGTTATGTCTAGCTCCCGGGTTGTTTGCTAGGTCAATTGTTTATAGAGAGCGTTGCCCTTAATGTTTTTTGAGCTTTTTTCAGTTTCTCGACTGCATAAGGTGCGTATTTATCTTTGATGATCTTCTCTGCATTTCAAGGTCTTAATACTGTTTTCTAGGTCTCGCTGCAATTGTTCAGTCGTACGTTGAAGCAATCAATGGTCCAGGAATAATTCCTAACATTCAGAATGCCTGGGAAACCTTTGTAGAGAAGAAGTGTTCCGAAGCTATAACGGCGGCTGTGAAAAAGTACGAAGAGGTTATGAAGTCAAACCTGAGAGAAGAACGTCCTTGTGATAATGATGAACTGCGCAAGTTCCATGGGACGGCATTAGACAAAGGTAAAGGCTGCTTCATGACAGAAACGGTAGGATTTTCAACCAACTCTACGGAGAAGCACCTAAACAAACTGAAGGTTGGTATAAAATGAAGTAGTATAGTCTATAGTAAGTAAATGGTTTAGAATTGGGTCACCGAGGGTAGAGGGGTATGAGGAAACATGAAGATAAGCTTGTTACACAAGAACCTACTAGACAATACTGTCAGCCTTTTCTAATATCTTCAGTATAAAGACAAATACAAAGAAATGGACCAACAATATCTAAATATAATGTATAACCTTATTAAGATAAAAAAGAGAACACAAACTAATTAATAGCAAGTAAAGTATAAGAAGCATTGTTATATGGCTGAGTCTGTTTTCGCCATGCAGTTGGTCAATTTGCGGTCCGTAACTTGCTATACGGACCAAAATGTCAAAGAAAATCCTCATTTCGGAGCTCCAAATCTCTTTACCTCGGAAAAAAGGTTTAAATAAAGTTATAAGACGTCTGTCAACCTTGATGACTTAGACGTTGACTTTATCCTTCAACATTTTAAACTGTGTTTATTTGTGAACAAAGGCGATGAAGAAACTAACTCGTAATCTTATCGAAGAGGATTCTAGTCAGTGTTTAAAAGTTTTATCGTAGTACACAGTTAAGAAGACGAAAATCGACAGGCAGAGATTCGAGATGTTTTGCCTAAGAGAAAATGAGTAATTTCTTCGACAAATATGATAACAAACATGCCTGTACCCGATCATCTTGACGAGCTTCTTTACCATTTGCAGTGTTTTTTCAAAGACCAACGAAAGAAATATAGAAGCGACTTCGAGCCAGACACAATAGGGCCATTTATACGAGGAAAACTAAGACGCGTCTTACATAAGACGCGTCTTAAATAAGACGTCAACTGGACCATTTATACGAGCATGTCCTATCTAAGTCTTCTGTATACTTAAACTTACTTTTAAAGTGTAAGTTTATAACACGAAGATAGTAATTTGATTAGTAAATATACATTGTGATAGTTTAAAGTTAAAAGTGTCTACTTACACCAGCAGATGTCACGCATTTGTCCAGGAGGTCCGTTTTCGCCTTCTCCTTACATAAAAACAAAAAATCTTTTTCCTCCGCGATGGACCAAGTGTTTCTTTTCACCTTTAACGACGTGCTCATTGTATTTGAGCGGAGAAAAAATAAAGCAGAATGGGTAAGGAAACGAAAACGCGTTGTAATTGGTAAACAATTTTTCCCCGCCAGTGGCCTGCCAGTCCACCGCGGGGCAAGCGATAATTTTCCCGCCAAAAATTAACGCGTTCCTACTATGCGTTCGCGTCTTATGTAATACGCGAAGATCATTTATACGAAGTTTTTCTCGTCTTAGCTAAGACGCGTCTTATCTAAGAACAGGGCTGTTCTAAAATAAGACGCGTCTTATCTTTCCTCGTATAAATGGCCCTAATTTCCAGTTTTCAAAACAATCTAGCGTCACATTGGCGAGTGAATACTGTGACGAGTGCCAAGCGTGCATTGTTGTGTTTATTATTAAGATTAGGATTACGTAACGTGTCAACGCGAATATTTAATAAGCTGGATATTTAAGTGACTTTTTGTTTTATTAAAGAGAGCTTGTTTCCCTGTATCGCTGTATTTGTGTTTCAAATACTTACAGTGCCTCTCAGTTCTTTAAAATGTGTCTGTAAACCCTGAGGACTGGGATGTTGACTTTGCGTTTCCAAATTTTAACCTAGCTTTGTTTTAATGAGAACGAACGAAACTGATGAGGAAATTGTAACCTTACCGAGGAAGATAATTCTAGTCAGTGTCTGAAAATTTTAAGGCAGATCACAGTTGAAGACGAAAATCAACTGGCAGAAATTCCAGAGGTTTTCCCAAAAGACTTTAACGAGCGAATACTTCGACAATGACAACAAACTTACCCTCAAAAGCTTCTTTGCTTTTTGCAGTTTTTTTTCCGGTTTCCAAAATATTCCAGAGCTAAAAAGAGCTAAAACTTTCAGTGCTCTTAGTTTTGACCGAATAAACTTTTTCAACATGGCGAATTTGTTTTCACTTTCTCAGCCTTGTCATGTGCTATTGTTTTCGTGAGCCAATAAAAACTTTCTTTTTTGACGCCTGTAAAATGACTGTCAAGAAGCCATATAATAAACATCTTACTAGCCTCGTTTTTTCGGTCCGTACTGTAAATTACGGATCCTCGTTTTTTTTCCATCGATTTATGGCCCGCGCGCTTCGATGGGAAAAAAAACTCGGTCCGTAATTTACAGTACGGACCGAAAACTCGGCTAATAAGAGTTATTAGAATACGTGTTAAATGATAACCCGGACAATCTAATCAGTGAAATATTTCCAAGTTGGAATCCCAATACTGTGATTTAATATTAACGATCAATTAATGCTTTTTAAATTGTCAATCAAAGTTTTTCTTTCAGTTCTTTTTTTTTTCAGCATAATGAGTGGTGTGAGTGTAATTATGTAATTCATCACGACAATAAGAATGAAATAATCAGCGTTACGTTCACTGACTTCCGGCAAGTCCCGGTACTCACAAGGCTTCAGGAGCTAATTCAGAAGTGACTTCATCAACATACTAGCTTTCTACTTGCTCTCTTAAGAGCAAAGTTGTAGCACACTTGACTTTAGTGGAAGCTTTAATTCGCAATGTTACTTTACGTGCGTTATAGTTGCACGCTCAGTTCGTCACTGTAAAAGTATTCCGATCCCAGAATAGGGCTAAGCATACCAGTTAAAGGTCGTTTTCATGTAAATCCGTAAGGCTTTTCTAATGCTTTTTGCGAGTAATTTATGAGTACTTTGACAAAGAACACTAGTTACCTTTTTTAGTATTGATTCTATTTGTTTTCTTTCAACAACAATACCTACCAAGCATATTACCGAACTTTTTCTCAATAAGTAATATCGTTTTGCTTATCGGTGGATTAACAAATCTTTCCGTTTAGGAAATTGAGCTTTATTTTTATTCCTTTTTTTTGGCCTTCCTTTTTTTCTTGTTTAGAAACTGTTATATGCGAAGCTGACATCATGGGAAACCAGAAATGAAAAGTTGACAAGAGAATTCTGTAACAGCTTACTACGTCAGCTGAAAGAAAAACATCTTGATCCAGTCCTTCAACGACTGCAGGGGAAAGAAGCGGCCAAAATATCTTTCGATGAAGTCATTGGTGGATACAATCACATGCAGGACGATTACAAGAATTCTGCCATAGGTGCCAAAGATGTTATTGCCGCGGTTTGGGCAGAGTTTCATCCGGTAAGATTAAACGTTGAAATTAGTCCATTTCTTTCGAATTGAGTACTGATCGGCCATCTGCTGAGTTAGATTGGTTTGTCGGAGTGAAAACTGAAAAGACATCCCCTATAAGTCGCAAATGAAGACATCCGATTAAACGTCTAGGCTGTTATTCCTTTCAGTGAACTTTTGTTCTGTTTTGTTTGGTTGCAGGCTCTCTTGAAAGAAAAGGAACAATCCTTAAATTGGCTAGGACAACTCAAAGACTATGATGAGAAACTAGCCCAAGAATTAGCAGCCAAGGCTTTACAAGAACAGAAGAATCAAAAGCTTGAGGTTAATTTTTTTTTTCTCACGCTGATTTTTGGCTTTAGAAAACTTCAATAAGCAAAATAACTTTTAGACCTCTTCATCTCTTTTTCCTTTGTACAACGGGCAAACGAATAACAAGACTCTTTTTTAGTATAAATATTTTAATATTTAGTTTTGCATTTTTTATTTGTTTGAGCTTAAACTTTATTTTGTAGGATGACAGAACTCGGTATTTCTAACAATCATTTGTTTTTGGCGGGAAAATGACGTTATAGGAACAGCAGCAAAAATTGATTTTCTACTTCTGACGTAAAAAGTAAGCATTGAATCCTACGCCAGTCACCGAGCCGTCTCCCAATATATTTGAATAACGCTCAAAGGTTGTGATATATGGCTGACGACTTTATATTCGGGTACACAGGGGAACTGAAATGTTACAACCACGTGCATTTTTCTCTGATTTTTGGCAACATAGCTATTCTTACTAACTCGAGTAAGCTGATTTCGAAAATCATTGTTGCCAAGCTCAATTCTTTTGTTAAGGTGGTATTTTGGGGCATTTCATTAGGACCGTTTTGCCCAAAAAAGGAGTTTTCTTTCCTTGAACAATTTTACGTTTACTATAACCAGAGACGCTTTGAACTTGTGATTAGTGTACTGTAAAGATGATTACGAAAATTTCTGGCAGTTTTTAAGCTGTGTCTACTAATATTAAGCCGTCACTTAACACCTGACCACGCCCTTTGAATAGTTGAGTTTTGAAAACGAATGTAATACTTGTATTAACAGGAAGCTGCAAGTAAAAACATGCAACCCTTTCAACATCGTCCATAACACGTGTTCTTAGCAATTGTAAGACCTCTCTGTTCCTGCACCAAGCACTTTGGGGTAAAAGCGTTTAACGGCTAATTCAAAGGGGGAAACTAAAGAAAAGACAAAGGGTGTTTAGGGGTGGCTAAATGTGACTGGAAAAAGATTTAAACGGCACTCCACGTGCATGAGATCTCCCTTTCCCTGTAGGAGAGATACTGCCGAGCCGAGCTAACGGTGCACGAATACTGACCTGTATCACGAAAACTTCCTCAGCGCTTAGCAGATGGGTTCTATCTTACCACCTGGGTTCTCATATTGGTGCGTACACATCAACGATGTCGTATAACATACACCACGATGACCGCTTCATCCAAAGACAGAGTGCCAGGGAGAGACAAAGGCAAGATAATAAAGCTGAAAATGCACTACACTACAAAACTTCGGGAGTCTTCAATCAGACAAAAGATCCTACCTGCGACTTGGGAAGTTGAGCAGTCTCTTGTCCAAGTTGTTATAAGGGACAGACTCAGGTTGAAACGTTTGTGCAATGTAATGGAGGCTACTTTCTACAGACAGAACAGAAGAACAGGATTACAAAGTTAAAATTGGTACAACTAGTTTCAAGACAAGAGGGGTAAGACTAATCTGTGGAACTGCAGACCGTTGAACCACGGAACTGGGGAACCGGCGGAACTTACGGAACCTAAAGAAATGACTGTTTTCATTACAACTGCCTTTGGCCAACGTGATAAAATGATTAGGTAAATCAATTATAACATTGATAGACTGTTCACATTCCCCTATTTCCTCGAAAGATCGTCGAAATCGAGCGCTCACTGGCAGTCAGTTTGGAATTGGTTTCAAATGTACCAAGGGGGCGGACCTCAGGGTTCCCAAACCGTCCCCCGCCCCCGAAGCAGTTCAAGCTGGACCCGGTCAATATAGCTTCCTGTAGCACGCTTACTCGACGATTTTGTGAAAAATGGGGTATAACACCATAGCATTAATCGAGAGCTCTGGTTCCGAACTGGAAGTCCACAAATCGCGGATTTCCGCCTTGTTGGTACGTAGGAAGGCAACGAGAGGTACATATTTAAGCACAGTAGCACTAGGTTGGGAGGATGAGAGAATATAATGTGAATGTGTTTGTGAAAAATAGATGATATTGAGCGAATGGCTCGGTGGTATCTGAGAACTAGTGGGATACGTGTGAGTGAGTCGGCTATGGTTCGCTGGGTCAGCACGTCAGTGTGTGTGATAGGTTGAACTCGTTGAATCCCCTCGTACAGGAGACCGAGATTGTATCCACGTCTGTTACGGTAGTGTTATGTTAGTTCGTTAAAACGCAGTTCGAACGTCTCGTTGAAGGAACATATACCTCGCATTCTCAGGGCAAGGCTGAATGGAAAAGCTCTTTTAGTGTGTAAGGGGCATAAACAGAAATAAGTAGATGCATAAACAGAGAGATATTAAGTTGGGATGGTAAAAATTACATTTCCCAAAAGTGACTAAGATGGGGTCTATATTTGGCCACAGAATGGATTATAATCGGGAAGAGGTTCTGAGAGACCAGCAGCACATACCCAGTAAAGATTTAACACAAGTAACCCCCTGACTACCCCCCTCCCTCCCCCCGGGCTAAGAGGTGACATGATGAACGTAAAAGGTACTGATGTTCGGCGGCTGTAGGTTTACTATAAAGAACAGCTTCAATAATCGATACCATCATTGAAGGGCACCTTGACGTAGAAAAAGGGGAAAGATTTGAATGAGCAGTTTGATGTAAATTTATAGTGGGATGAAGTTTCAGTTTAGGCAGGAGACGGAATAATACGTTTATTGTGAAAATGAATTTGAGGAGATCGCAAAGATTCTGCCGCGTGTATGGTGATGGCTGCAGAGCGGTCTGCCGTCACGAGAAGTGACGCCAGGCGCCAATACCCACACTCAGTTTACTGTATTTAAAATCTATACCTTTTGTTTCCTTGCGACGACTACTAACACGCCGAACAATAGCTCTAGATCTCGACCAATCAGCGGGCGAATTATTGAAAAAAAATTGATTGTAACTAATTATTTTATCCCGTTGACCAAAGGCAGTTGTGGTAAAAGCAGACATTTCTTTAGGTTCCGCTGGTTCCACAGGGGTCGTCAGTTCCGCACATTAGTCTTACCCAAACAAGAGAATTTTATGCTGTCTGTTAGTGACAGTTTATGAATTCAAGAGCGAGGTAAAAATACAAGCCAAATTGAAGCATGAGCTAATACCAGTGCCACTGTCTCTCGCAGACAGAGAGGTTCTATTGCAAGTGTTTCCTGCACTAAGCGGATTTAGCACGGTTTCTCTCAGCCGAGCGCATCGCGCAACCAGTCCGGTTGACACTGCAATCGTCGTATCCTGTGGTTGTTCAAATTAAAAGTAATTTTCTTTTAAGATCCTATCCTTGAAGTAGCTGTTCGAAATCCAGCCACGAAGAAGTCGATATGAAATTTTGTTGTCTATGTAATCATTCTTAACGAGGATATAAACGACGTGGTAGTCTCCTGTAAAGACACAGACGTCTCCACTAAGTACATCCCCTGGCGCAACGCAATAAGCTGATAAGGAATGGGCATGGTAGGAACTTAGAAGCCAAATTAGATCCTTTTGCAAGAGATCTCGGTAAATCTTCCTCGTAACTTGTCATGTTCAGGGGCGTAGCCAGCCCATAGACCTGTAGGCCCCGGCCTACAAATTTTTGGTTCGATCATTCTACCGCTTGTATAATAAATTATGCATTGTTGGAGATTAGGGGCTCAACGTATTGCTGAGGTCAGAGCGTACTAGTCATGTCACAGGTTGTGACAGCACCTCGTTTATCTGTAAACATTCAAAGAATACTGTGAGGCCGCACTTTGTATTTCCTCCTCTTTGGACGAGTCTCAACGTCCTCCGTGCTAACACCATCGCACCTGCAGATAGGTTTGTTTTTCCGTTATGTATGACGGATCCAAGAGACCAACTGGACTTTGCTCGCTCCTTGCTATTTGTCAAATTCAGTAACCCAGAGAAGCTACGTGCTCTTTACGACGCGTTCAAGTAACACCTGAGAGATGCCACTACCAAACCACGGTTTGACGCCAAGCACAGATTCCAAAAGCGGAGCTTCCGAACCTTGAGGAGACAGGATGAACGCTGAAGATGAGGATCTACTGGTCTCTATTTTCATGACCCTCAATCCAATCTTAGAGGCTTGTCTGGAGTGAGTTTTAAACTGGTTCGCCACTGGCTGTGCTGTAAATGCTTATCGTGTGCACTCGGCTGTGTGGATGTATTAAGGCCGACGTTAACTGCTGCGTCAACCGGCACTCGCTTTTGTGAAAAGCTTAAGCGATGTTAACTTTTTAAGAGAGTTAAGAAAATTCATTCACAATTCTTACAATATGGCAGACTGAAACCTTAGAGTAAGGAGCGACGTCCTGACATGTTCTATTCGTAAATTTTACATGAATTCAACCAGTTACTATCATGAACCCGACAAAGTAAATTGTGAAATGACTTACATTCAACAATACACAAAAAAATACTAAAACTTAATCTCCAGTCGTAACAATAAACATGTTTTTTCACCAAAATATCACAATTATACAAGGAGAGTACTTGGCACCTGGCCATACCCATTGCAAGGTGAACTTCTATGAGAGGGCAAGGTCGATGTTGACGTGACGGCTTATTATTTATTAGAAAGCATTGTAAAAACTGTCCGAAATTCTCTTAACCATCTTTACAGTACACTTACAGCAATTTCAAATAGTTTTTTGGTTATGTTTAACTTAAAATTGTTAAAGGAAAGATGCCCCAAAATGCATCTTTTCACAAAAATTGAGCTTGGCAACAATGATTTTCGAAATCAGCGTATTCAAGTTAGTAAAAATAGCTATGTTGCCAAAAATCAGACTAAAATGCCCGTGGATGTCACATTTTGGTTTTCGACTATTAAGAGGCGGTCTCAGTAAAAACCGCCCACTCAATTTCGTATGACCAGTATTTTTGCCTGAAACTCTGGCGAGTGAAAGGCTTTATCGAGAATACAACTCAAATAGCTTTTCTTTGATTCACAATTATTTTCTGGCCGAGCTCGGGGGAACTGAGTATTTTTTGCAGCACTGTAAAATATTTGATTTGCATCATCTGCCAATGCATTTTACACCTATCTCTAGTTTTTCCTGAACGTAATAGTTATTCACTAAATGTAGCCGAAAAGACGAAATCAAGCAAAATATGACCCCGACTAATTCCCTTGGAGCGAAAGGCTAAAAATGACCATAGTTTAAACGCTTATTTCTGACCTAGTTGAAAGCCCTAGATCAAATAGACAAAAAAATAGATCATCCATTATTAAGAATATACGAAAACTCATATACGATTTCAGTATTTTAAAAGTTATGCCCGTTTCTGTTATATCAACTTACCTGCAAGCTAATATAATCTTTTCAGATTTGGCGACTGACGGATTTATCTCAAGCAGATTTTGTCAAAAGTACGGCTTACCTAATTCATTACTAACACTGACTCACTAATTGAGCCATATTCCAATCTCTGAGATGCCGGACTCCATAAAATTCCAGTAAATGTGTCTTAGAAGCTGCTGGTTTGCGGCCATATTTGAATCCCGCGTGCAAACAATTCGAGTTTCAAAACAGGTGAAACTCTTTCACAATTTGAGCTAAATAGCACGGTAAAACACCTGTACAGAGTTGAGAGTTTCGACAATCAGAGAATCAACTAAGTAGGTTTCATTTTGGGTAAGAAAATTAATTGAGATTTGAGAGCTACAACCTCGAGTAAGCTTTCTATTCAACCGGCTCTACAAGATTAAATGTAAGTGGAACCCGGAAATCCGGAAAAGCGCATCATTTGGATACCAGCAAATCCGAAATCAATCAGAAACCGAAGCCAGTCCCAAAAGTTAGAAACAGCTGCATTCGTTTAGGGCTTCTTTTCGACGCTGAGATACGCAAAGGTAAAACCTGCCAAATGAGCAAACCTTAAACAAAGTGTCTCAACGCCTTTCTTCGCCTTGTGGCATCGGGTTATGGTCAATCTCTGAGATGCCAAATTCCATAAATTCCAGTAAATGCGCATTAGAAACTGCTGGTGAGCTGTCTATTTGAATCCCATGCTAACAATCCGAAGCTCAAACCATGTGAAACTATGTCGCGTTTCGAGATAGATAGCGCGGTAAGAAACAAAATAAATTAACTGTCCTGCGGAGAGAGTTTGTTCGAGAATCAAACACCAACCAAGCAGATTTCGTTTTGGGTCAGACAGTCCAAATTTAAGGGCAAATGTAGGAATAATTTTTCCGCCATTTTTCGGCGTTCTCCTAGTGTCACCATTGGGTATATTGCATGGGAGTTTCTTGCAACCGTTCCTACATTCCATGACTTTTACCTGCTCTCCTCATGTTATCCGCTATCCGTGTTATCTGTGATACCGAGAGAAAAATGTCCCCTTTGGAATAAATAGCTGTTTTAATAATAGTAATAATAATAATAATAATAATAATAATAGAGAGCGAGCGAAGCGAGTTTATAATCTCGTCACGCGCGAAGCGTACGCGCAGTACGTGAACCACGCGTGGTCTTAGCCAGCCGCAAAATTCCAAAACTGGATGCCCTATCTTTTGGTGTCCGCCAATGACGTGATGTGGGATATAGACTTTGCCCCCGATGACCAGGGCGCACTTTCATGTTGTATTCATGAAGGACTGATGTGTTTGTTCATCGTCTGGAATCAATGTTTACGATCGGCGAATCACAAGCAACAGAACAGCAAGCACAACAATTGGCTGGAAATCCTCGCCGGCGAAGATTTTCCACCGAAACTCCTCTGGAGAACGCCGAAATTCATCGCAAGCAGAGAAGACGACGACAACAAGAAACCGCGAGGCAGAGAGAAAATCGCTTGACACAGCGAAGGCAACGTCGTCAACACAGCGACCACAAACATGTATAGAAGCAGCGAAAAAATACTACAATTACACTGCAAATGAAACCGATGAAGAGAGGGAACACCGACTGCCGACGCTTTAAAAGCGATGAGGAGATCAGGCAACGCTTAAAGTTAACTTTACAGTCCGAAAAATTATCTTCTTCTATGCAACGATAGGCAGCAACAGTCACATGATCTATACAATGCACGTGAAGAATATCTTTCTAACTCACCGAGGAGAGGCTATCAGCCTTTACACCATAAGCATAAGGTTTTACAGTAAGCTTTATTTTACAATGAACAGATGATAACACCGATAATGTGTGACATGTAGGGAAGCGTTACATTTGTAAACAAAATCCTTACTGAACAAAATTTTCTTTTACAATTTTCATTACATTTACTTACCCAAAACCATCTCAAGTAAAAATATATATCTATGTACAGCAGCCTTATACGTAAACACAGCTGTGTCTTTTAAGTCAAGCGGAACAAAAATTTATTATTGTTGGCCTCCTTTTTTCGATCCTATTTAATATTCGAAAAGATAAGCATCTTTATTTCGGATCTTCCCACAATATTAGTGTGTGACATGTGTCATCGTACCAGGAACATTAATTCTTTTCCCCGTAAGGGCGTCTGTTTCTAGTACACGAAGTTTTGATTGCAGTTGGTCAGGGAAGGTTTACATTTGACTGTCAGTCTGGGAATTTGAAAAACTGTCTCTGGCAACCATGTCGCAACTTTGATGCTCATGCACGTTGAGAATTCAGAAACTGATCACCTTCAGCATGACTTGTATGTGAACATTTCATACAAATTCACTCTTGCATGGGTATTTGTTTCTCATGCACGTACACCAATAACTATGAACACTTTCATAAATGATTTGGTACTTTTTACAGGGATAATTCAGTGCTAATGAGGGTACCGCATATTCAATGATCATGCAATAAGCCATAATCAGTTTCATAATTCTCCCCAACAACATCCTTAATAACATTGCTTCATGTAATTTCTATTTTGTCTTAATATTTTCAGACCTTAGATTTTTAACTTTCATATTTTGTATAATGTATATATTTTTTTAAGCTTTGTAACTAATTTCTCTCGGTAATTATTATATTTTTTAGCTTTTAGGTTCTACGTTAACCTGATCATTGTAAAGCGCTAGAGTAGCTGAATAGCGCTATATAAATTACTATTATTATTATTATTACTAGGGTATCTAAAAGATAGTAATGCTGCGGCGCATTCTGTTGATACTGGCATTAGTTAGCAGGCCCATAACCAGGGGGGTGCATGGGGTGCGTTCGCACCCCCCAGGCCCAAAGGTCCGCATTTTGATACTCAATATCTAAGTTAAGGGGTGCAGTCGGTGAAACTGAAGTTTCAAACATAACAGTGATATTTAAACAAAATCAAAGAATGGAAAAAGCAGTAGTATATTCACTGGGAAAATAAAACCAGCTGCACTCTAGTAGCCCGAGCCATTCAGAACATTTCAGTAAGAGCACAGATGTCCGAGCTTATCTAAATGAATAATGAAATTAACGTGCGCACGCTTTGCACGGGAGTTTACGACGAGCGAGCCAAGACACGTCCGCTAACGCGTCGGGTAGTATTTTCTATTTGTACGAGCGCATGAACACCCGAAGATGCAAAATGAGTTAGACAAACTCAGGTATTCTGGCACCAATCAGAAGCCAGAACGGCGGCGACCGTTTGGAACTGGTCTCCTAAGCCATTGTGCCCAGGGGCTCTTCTGAGTCTTCTCGCCGTTCTTTACTTTTCTCCGCGCCTTATTTTTCCGCCCGTTTAGAC